CTTACATAACTTTAATAAAAAGGCTTTTTTCATTTTGAAAGGTTCCAACATAGCTGGCGAGAGGGACAACTCGGCTGTGCTTCTCCGTCCCTTCCATAACCAAGACACGGTCAGAGCGGAAACGACCGAAGTCTCCGTTCTGACCGTGTCTTGGTTGGGCACACCTGGACACATAGAGCAGGCTGGGCGGTGCTATCGTTTGGGCAAGATTTTCTTTTGAGTCTGATATCTGATAAAACATTAAATTGATGGAGAAGTGATAAAATGGAGAAAAAGATGACAAAAATATGCGTTCTAGTTCGATTCCCGATAGCGGCGATGATAAGTCGTTACTGTTTTATTCTATTGATCCTTGGAATGTGACCCCAGAAGTGCCATGGGTACACCTTCATTGTCGACGAAAGCGATATTCTGACGGCTGATGATGGGCCTGCCACGGAATGTCCCGACTTGATTCACCTAAACATGGTAGGTGGTCAGAAAATTGAGTGAAATCATAAAATTTTATTTGGTCAACTTGGTAGTAACATGTATTGTGGTTATTAGAGTTCCGGGGTACTTGAATGGCCTAAACACATGCGCAAAACCGAGACCTAAAGACAGCTCCCGCGATTAAAGTGTCATGGATAGTTGCTTTCAATTATGAAACAGTAGCTGATAAGTAATTCCCCAAAGAAGAAAAAAAAGCAAGAAGAGTCCTCAAGAACACTATAAACAAAATCGCTCCCTGGCAGTCACACCTTCCTGCGGTCTCTGTGCAACCCCTGGCTCACAATTTCCCTTTATCACCATCTCCAAGTAGTGGGTATCATCCAATGCGATAAAGGAATACCAAAAACATACAGAAACACGTCGCTATGGGAAGTAAACTCTTGAAAAGGAAGAAACTTTCAAAAAAATCTCAGGCGTCTAATTTGAGGGTTCGGGTACCTTGCAATCTTTTAGGTAGTGATGGAGCGTCGACTTTGCACCACGAAATATGGGTCGATTTACACGTTTGCCTTTGCAAGATTGGGTTGAGTTGAGCCGTAGCGTCCTAATATGATAAATGTCAATATAAGTATATTGGAGAACATTCATGGGCTAACGAGCCGCCGGTCAGCAAAAAGGGCGAATGTAATTCCGATTAATGCCCGCCGCCCCAAACAAAAACAACTGCTCAGTCAGAGGGCATCCAGCAAGTGGGCGGTACAACTGGGCGGGCGTTAGGACTAGAACTTTCAGCGGCTATGTAGCGATCGCTCCCTCGCTCGCTGTGAAAGTCGACCGCCCAGCTGGTCCACAAGTTCTCCGCGTGAAAAGTTAAGGCGTGCTGTTGCGGTGGCCGGTGCGTCACATCCCGCAAAGCGCACACTCAACCTAAGGGGTGTGAGCCAACATAGTAGTGATTGTTGGTCGTGTGAAGTCTAGTCGCTTCGTACCGCGAGCTTGAACTATCCACGAACTGATTCCATGGAGTTGATAGAAAGGCAATTCACATTACTTCTGGATGGGAATAAGTAGTTCCATTGAAAGCAGTGAGAATGGTCAGTCAACGAACTTTTGGCTCGATCAATATCTAGGTGTTGCTCAGAGGCACCGATAAATCTATTGGGTTGTTAGTGACGAAAGAAGTCGAACAGCTGTTCAGGAGATTCGCACCAGCTACTCTTGGTCTTTTTGGCTTGGTGGTCCACGCATCCCTTTTAATTCGTCGTAATTCACTTTATAAATTTAGCGTCACTGTCGTCTGGAAGTCCCTCTCATTCGTTCACGGATTGCACTGCATATCCTCGACCATGGGGAGGGTGGTTGCGCACCTATTTGCACGTCGTAAGCGAGCATAAGAATTGGCTGTTTGAACGTCTTCATGCGCTAGTGCCGCTTCGAAAACGAGAGCTGAGCGTAATCCCTCTGCCTCGAGATCCCTCCCCTCCTCTCGACCTCTCCTGTTCCATTTCTCATTTGTTCTCCATTTTTTTAAACATAGTCAACTTAATTTTAGATCGACGCGCTATTTTCGGAGCGTTCCGGTTCTTACACTTTTCTTTGTTTTGCAGAAATTATAATATTTGGCTAGTTGTGCGTGGCAATTTGTTCCACTCGAAGTATTTTTGCGGAAACTTTTATGACGAGGCGCAATTCAAATAATGAGAATGATACTTACGGATCTTGGGCCAGCAATGGCATCGCTACCATAGTTGAAATCTACAATGTGATGTCGTGGATGCTTGCGTTTAGCGTCTAGTCGTTCCAGAAGAGTTTCCGATAGCACTGAAATTTAGCGGTTAGTAAAGGGTCCAGAACGTAAAAGAAGATTTTTTGTTTTTCGATTTAAATGGTACATCATGGCCTAGTCCTTGTCTGTGGTAATGGGCGGGCGGGACAGTCAACACGCGATGCCTTCCTCCTTGCTCACCTCTTCTCAAGAAGACATAGACGGTAACAATCGTCGCGCACGTCCGGTCGCTGCCTTATGGGCGGGACAGTCCAACCGCTATCCTTCCCCTTGACTCACCTCTTCTCAAGACGACAAATGGAGGGGACGTGTGATAATTGGCCCAGTTCCGCCCACACCATCAGCGTGGAAGCCTTCATTGACTAAGGGTATTGCCAGAGGTATAATATGTGTGGCGTAATTCACTGGAAGAGGCGAGTGGCCGCTTACCACGCTCCCGGTGAGAGGATCAAGGCCTGGATCGGCTACCGTCCAGGCCAACCAAACCTTATACCTCCCCTCCCCCAGAAATAGCAAATTGGTGCCAGGATTGTCTGACTGATAAGAACACCAACTTGTACATCGGCCTCGGTGGGTAATATTTCTTTGTACAACGCGAGGCAGGATGACAGTTGGCTCGAATGGAAAGATTGAACGAAAAACGCACTCCACAGCCATTCAAATGAATTGCGCAGCTACGCCCCCTCCAAACTCTTGGATATTGATTGTACCTGTTGCGCAAGCACCGAGTTCTTTCTTGCTCTACATCTCGTCTACAGAAGGGGAGGCTTCATCGAGAGTGTTCTCGGCGGAGGTTTCTCTTATCTTTGTAATGATGTGTCATGTAGAACAGTAGCGCAGTAATTAATGGGCAAAATTGACCAACATACCTTGCGGAATGATAACCAAGAAAAGACAAAAAGTTAGTAGTCGTAGTGACATCACAAAAGCTGTTTCGATAATCAACGAGGCCGTGGGAACTTGTTTTCTTCATGGTAGACCTGAGCGCACGCCCAGTTCGTGACGGAAGGGCGTGACACCTTCTGGTTTATTTCGTTGGCGATAGAAGCGGCTCCGCTTGGCTTTACCATCGAGGAAAGTGTTCTGAGCCCAGATTACTGACAATTTCCTACAGCTTCTGGCAACATTCCAAACCGTCAAAGAGATAATTTCCCCATCCGCACATGTTTTCCCTGCCGTGAA